TGATTACCACTTATGTATACATATATCTATGTTAATCCGTGTCTCAAGGGTGTGAATAGGTCAATTCATTTAAAATGTAAGCTTATTTAGGTATTGTGTATTTGGGTTCTGGGTAGGGTTGCCAACATATTTTAAGACATTTATAGTACCTTTTCAAAAAAATCGGAAAAAATATAGTACACTTCAAATGTGTATAGTATTTTATTTAAACGAAAGTGTAAAAACGCTTTTCAAGTTAATATAAATACTTTTTCTTTATATATTTCTTAGCACTTTTGGCAGTTTTTAACAATTCCTTGTTAACTATGAAAGTATCATATGCTTTATATATATATAATATTTAAATTAATATAAATGAAAAGTTAATTTTTTGTTAGTGAGGTAGTGGCTCCCATCTCGAAATTTAACATCCATTATAGAAAACCCTCTTTCTGTGAATGTCGAATTTGCAGGAATTGAAAGTAGAAATGAAATAATTTTAAGTAGATTTATTAATTCATTCTCAGTATTTTTAAAAATGTAGCAACTTTTTTTCTGTGGTTCTATTCATAAACTCACCATGAACTTTTATTTTAAAAAATACTTCTTTTATTATTGTAATTTCGGTATAAATTTCAACCATTTTAATACACATTTTTTCTTACAAATTACTGAAATATATTTATATTTATAACTGAATAAATACAGTCTTTATGCATGCTATATTTTTTCCAACAGTATATAGTACGCAGACCTAAAATATAGTACAATACTATATATTATAGTGCGGTTGGCAACCCTAGTTCTGGGCAATGGGTTAATGAATGAAATACGTCATACGAGTACTCGTACAAGTTTTTGGAATTTTTAGTCAGTTGTTTATATCTCTCCAGGGAAACTAACAATTATGTTGAAAACTAAATTTAAGTATGTACATAACATTATTAAACCAAGCATTTAAGCTAACATTTTATATTAGATGCAGCATGTTTCTAAAGGACACCATTTGGGGCTTACCTGTCATCACTGACGTCAATTCTGACTTTGCAATTTAATAGTAAACTCTTATGTCAAGCGTTATACAAGGTCAGCATTAATATCACCGATGACAGTTAAGTCGTAGGTGGATTTTTATATCAGAATCAAATTTTTATGGAAAGTGCAGATAGAGGGTATTGAATATAAGCCCTCGATATGTAAATTCAAAACTTTAAAGCCGTTTTCCTCGAGTGTTGCTTTTTTAAGTCGGAACCAGGCACAAAACAACGCGTGCAGGAAACAGCACTCAGACTACATGCCGACCCTTGTAGTGTTTGACCGCTTCCTTCATGGCTAAAATTTTTGACCGACCGGAAAATGCTACAGATATCCAGCAGCTGATAAGACTAAGCTCAAGTTCCGTGCAATACACCGCAGAAACCTCGCCCCTTGTAATATTTGACGCATCTATTTACCAAGTCAGTTATTCTCACGGACTCACCCCAGTCTTAGACCTTAATTGGCAGAGAGGGTTGACGGGTCGTATTCCGTGGGGGCAATTTTGACCGATACATTCTTGGCCGAGGTCCGCCGGCGAAAGATGCAACAGGGAATAGAATACTATACAGTTCGGCCTGACTGTTGTCGTGAACATCCGGTAAGGGGAGAGAAGGCGATAAGCTTCAGGTGCAGTGTTGCATCACTTCGCATGCATAGAGCAATACCGAGGCTATACGTCTTACGCTTTAATATTGGGGTTATGCTCAAATGTTGTAGTTGTAATTTTAAAAGCTTATTGTACGATAACTGTTGAAGCGATTTCAAAGAGAAGTGTGGCGTTTCAAAGATAAAATTACAAACCTATCGAAAGATTCATTTCTGTAAATAACCAATTCGGTTTGTGTCGTAGAAACAACGGTAAATATTGGCTTACTTTGGGGTAAATTTTGAGCCTTTAAAGTGCTCTAGCAACTTGTGATTTGCAGATATATCTTGCATTTTCGGTATATATGTAGGTTCTTTGGAGGAATTTAAATATTATCGTGTACAACTTTTATATCAACAATTCCAAAAAATATTGAGCATTTTAAGGCAAAAGATCTGAGAAAAAATTAGCAATTTTATTTATTACCAAAATGCTCGAAAACCGTTCGAATGATTTAGTTTTAGTTTTCTTTAATCAAAAATTCAAGCTTTTTCCTTTCGTTCGGTTACTGTTCGTTCGATTTTACAAAATGAGCCATCAAATTAAAGGGCTTGGCCTGTGGATGTGTAATAACTTCTTTTTTTTTTTTTCAAAAAGAGTTGCCACCTGATAAAAAATTAAATTCAAACTATTTTTAAGTTGAATCAATTACATATTACACTATGATTATAGATCGAAAAGGTTCTGAAAAGGGTTTATTCCTTAATTATATGTGGCAGGTTTGCCACCTGTTTCAAAAAGCAAGTTCGACTTAAATAAAGACAGAAAATTTAAATGTATATCCTGATATGAATGCCAGACGAAAGAGGTTGTGGTTTGAAAATATTTTGCAGAGGGTTGCCACCTTATTACAAAGTTAGATAAATAAATTTTGTGTTCATAGCTGGCTTTAGTATAATGCGGCATTCGCAGCATACGATTGCGAATGGCTCACTGGCGCCGGGCCGTTGAAGAACTTTTGGCAAATAATCGTGCAAAAAGTAGTTCTTATACTAGCAAGTCAATATTCTTATCAAGTGGCATAAAAAAATTCCTTGTCGTTTAAAGAATAGAGGGAATGCCGCATTATACCAAATTCCCGACTTAAGCTACTATTCCATACAAACACAGAACTATTTCAATATGAATATAAATCAAAATTGCTTTGAAGAAACTTTATTTCCAATTTGCATGTATGTAGGAGGATTGCCACCTTATTTTATAATTAAATTCAATTTGAATTAAGAGTATTAGATAATTTAAATATGCATCACAATACAAGTTTGTCACACGAAAAATGTTTAACGAGGTTTTGGTTTAAAAATAATTTGAATAGGTTTGCCATCTGTTTGAAAAGTCGTATTAAATTAAATTATATGAAATATTGAAATATTGGCGTCAAACAAAGGAGTACAAAGAAGTTTTTAGATTGAGCATTTATAACATAAAAGAGGGTTTACACCTAGGCAAAAAGTTAAACTCCAATTATTTAATAAGTCAAATGAATTACTAAAGTATGAATATAAATTGACATGGGTTAAAAATGTTTTTTTTGCTGAACTATATTTAAGAGGGTTTAACAAGGTTTCGGTTTTAAAATCTTTTGAATAGGGTCGGCACCTGAAATATTAAAATATGACCTGAAACGAAGGTGGTAAGATATACTTAGTTAGAATATTTGGAATACTAAAGAGGGTTGCTACCTGTTTAAAAAGGTAAACTCAAATTATTTAATAAGTTAAAGCCGTTATTAAAAATATGGGTATCAAATGAAATGGGCTTAAGAAGGCTTTATTTCTGAACTGTATTTAGGGGCATTGTCACATATTTAAAAAATCAAATTTAACTTAATTAATCAGACAAATGAAATATGTACGTATCACGATATCAGACGCAAGAGATTTGGTTATTTCTTAACTATATTTATGAGGCTTGCCAGCTGTTTCAGAAGTCTTAGCTGACTTATGCACAAATCCCAAGACGAAGTTAATGCGAAGACGAGAACAAACACGAAGAAGAATATTAATACGGGGACCTAGGAAATAAAAATGAGTTGAAGTAAATAGTGATACACGTCATGGCATATACATATCGCTGTATTTATAAGCTGATGGTACATATGATTGAAGTTAGCGTGGATCTGCTTCTCTATTGCTAATTATTAATATTTTGCAACTCGTATTGATTCATTAAATTCAATTCAATAAAATAAAAAAGAATATTTCATGCTCCGTTTTTAACTTAAATGCGATCTTATTAATATCACGTATTCTACGTTTAAGTTTAGCGGCTGTGGCTCCGACACTGAAGGCGCTCCATATTAAGGCAATGAATGGTTGTATTATTCCAAGGTAATTGGTATTTTAATTCAGCTGAAGAGTCAGTCTATATAGCTTAGGCCTAGACAAGGTGCTTCTGCGCTGATGCTACTCTTACCCCAATTTTGGTTGCAAAAAGTTGTATGTCTCGAAGTGCTTGGCCCATGAGAATACTGCGGATATTTATGCAGAAAACGAAGCCTAAAAATATGTATCACATAACTATAAAAAAAAATGTAAAAAAAAGTATGCATATATATGTTTGGTATATACATATGTATTCTAAGGCTTCGTTTTCTGCATAAACATCCGCAGTCTACTCATGAGTGAGCTGAGTCTCGACCAAAGAAGGTCGCACTTCCCGCTTACCATAACGCAGACGTCCGTCATCTGCGTATGTAGAAGTTCAGCACCACTACCAATCAAAGCAGCGACGATTCTGCGCCTCTGCTCCGGGGCCCTGCGGACCGATTTATATTTTAGGCATACCTCATTGCGCGGAGGCAGTCCTGAGACTCAGCATGCTGCTAATTCAGTTCGACAGTGCAGACTGAGCGGCAGCTGTCGTTACCCCGGCCAAAATGTTTTTTTTTTTTTTTTGACTTTATTAAAAGCCCCAGCTATATCCAGGAAACACTGCCCAACATGAATTCTCCATCCTTAATAATTAATCATTTTCATCAAACAACATTGTGTATGACGGTGTCTACCAATATGATCATGTTGTGTTCCCCCTGCGTTTTGTTTGATGTAAGCAACTATCAACCCATTCAAGGTCTTCTGAGGAACGATGTTAGACTAATTTTAATTATAATGTATTTTTTTAATCAAATTTAATTTTGTTTTCATTTATATTTTTTATTTGACCATACTGATTATTTCTAACAGCCACCTTGTTTGCAACTAACAAACGTATGTACATACATTCATTCATACATGTGCTTTTTTCTTAAGTAATGTATGGTTGTATGTTTTGGTGGAAAATATATATATATACACGTATGTGTTTATATTTATGTATGTATGTAGTATAAACTTACCTTAGCGGTTATCACTATCAGTGAAAATGTAAGGAAAGCGGCGGCCTTCATTGCGTTGCTTATGCCGGAGAGAAGATGGAGATTTTCGGAAATGTGAGCAATAAAAAGATTTAAGCGAGCTACTAAACTGAAGGTTTATCGTAACGACACTTTAAACGGCAAATAAATTGGATTACGGAAAGTCAGCAGCTGTTAAAATTTGGACATTCACTTGGTGCTGCACTTAACTTAAAATCGCTTTTTTTTTTTTTTTATGTATTGTGAGTATATCAGTAATGCTCCGTTGTGTCTGGTAACTCAATTCTATAATTTTTCGTCGTAGCACGCGCCACAAAACGCTAAGAACTCTAAACTCTTACAACTTTTAAGTGCTCGAAAAATGATAGCGGCGGCTGGTGAATGAGTGCTTATGCGACGGTCAAAGGATTTGCTGCTTGTAACACGAGCGAATGCCTATAACAGTATATATGTATGGTGGGATATACGCGAAATCTGTAGTAACTTTATTATTGAAAATTGACACCGATGTAAAAATTGACTTGGTACACGTGTATATATGTATGTAATTGTATATATGTAGATGCCCCGATTGCCAATAACCCAATGCGTATGAACGTTCAAAAGTTCTTTCTTCGACTAATTGTCGTTAATGCTTCAAATTTGGAAGATAATCAAACTCAGAAGTATGTATGTACGTATGTGTGTGCATACATATGTATGTGTCTATGCGCGTACATACAAATAAAGCGTCAATTCATTACAACGCGCAACCGAACTAGAACCAAAAACAAACACTGGCTCAATGGATTTTGTTTAACTTTTTTGAATAAATAAAAACCGTTAGCAAACGTGGTTGTTTGAAAGTGCCGGTTGTGCTGGAAACTTTTCCCCTTTTTAAACCACGACCGTTAACTACGCCAACCGTCCGTACAATGAATTTGTTATCAGCGCGACATATCCTTTTATAGCGACTTCGAGGATAACTCGGAGCCGATGATGTTGCCGAGCTCTGTGGTGTCGTCCGTTTTAAGTAGACAGCTGTGTGGCAATTGAATGGAAGGAGCTTTCAACACTTGTTGCAGAAGTGGCATTAACGCTGAATCCGGCTGAGTACGTGTACAAATGTATGTACATACATATATGTATGTATATTCACTCTTAAGTGAAATATGAATTGAAAAATCTAATTTAACAAAAAAGGATTTAATAAGCGATCTTGAAACTAAAGAATGACAATTTAGCTCCAATGACTTTTAAACTATTACACTATTTAAACATTTGTAAATAGTTTTCTAACTAGCCGTATTTTTCTAAACTGACATTACTATTTGGCGCGTTTTAATGACTACTGTAACAAAGTAGGTATGTACATTTGTATGTTTGTTTGTATACAATATGTAGTTAGTGAACTTTATTTCCTACTAAGAAAGTTGAAGCTTACGTTTTCTGGGAACAGTTGAAAAGCTTTTAAAACTTTGGTTTATAGCAAACTAAATGTGCTTTTAAAGCAAATCAAATGTGCTTTATTGCCCGTATTCAGGTATTCATAATTCAAACATAAATGCATCAAATCCTGAATAACTGTTATGTGTGATTTGATTCGTCAACCAAATAAAAAACTAAATTTATTTGTGATTTGACTCGTCGACCATATAGAGAACAAAATTCATTTGTTACATGATGTATACACTGAACCAAAAATCCATTTCTGGATCAAAGAAAACCTTTCCTTACTTTAAGGTCGAAAATTCTTCCGAATGAGTAAAAAATTCTCCCGAGTCGTAATTTTTCTTTGGAATGTGTAAAAACGTACACGAAAATATGGAACCGTGGATGTAATCTATCATTTTGAAGAAATGTTGGGCATGAAAAGAGGATAAAACTTCTTTAGTGCTGTTTCGTTCACATTTTTCTTCATTTTGATTGCTGTTTTTCTTCAATTAAGAGAATATTTTTTTGGTTGTAGGGCGAATCAATTTGATTCGTAATTTTTCAACTAAATAATACTTTTTTATGCAACGCAAATATGATTTTCAAGTATTTTCGAACTTCCAGTTCTACGAAATATGGTGCGTACCAAGTTTGTACGTTTGGAAATTGAATACAAAAAATATTAACTACCTTTTCTATGTTATCGATATATGTACCAATATTGTTATCGATATATTTATCGATATATTAGCGATATATTCATATATATTATCGATATACATATTTATCAATATTAATGTCTACATATATATTTCTCAATATTGTTATCAACATATTTCTCAATATATTTAGTTTTGGTAAAATCAAAATAGCCCATAGAATTTTAATAATATCGAAGCTGTCTCCAAATCGACCCGAGAATCCCCAAAATCTCGAAGTTGTTTGAAAATCCCAAAGAATCCTGTATAGTCCAGAGAATTCCGAGAATTCTGACTTGCTAAGCACCATTTTACGTAGAACTGGAAGTTCGAAAATACTTGAAAATCATAGTTGCGTTGCATAGAAAAAGGATTATTTAGTTGAAAAATCTAGAATCAAATTGTTTCGCTCTACAAATCGAATCTATCTGTACTGTAATAAAACTGTAGTGTGTTTGTTTGTCTGTTTGAACTCACTTATCTTCGGAACTACTGAGTGGATTTTCATTGGATTTTAATTGGTATAGGGACAGTGACCTGGAACATAGGGTATATAATAAGGGATCTGACAAGGGGGCGTGGTACATCCCATAGGCATGACATTTTAAATCAGGTATAACTAATAAGAAACGGTAATTCACACGACTTTGAAATTTGGTGTGTTGGCATATGTATCTCTGGTAGGCGCTTATAGTAAAGTACATATACTTTTGTAAAAGAGGCGTGGCACATGCTATCGGAACTTCGGAATGATACGTCACATAAATTGGATTTTTTTTATGAAGACATATCCAATGTAAGCGCTTATAATAAGGTGTCTATGAATACGTTTGTACAAGGAGTGTATCGTATCCCATAGGCTTGCAATTTTTTATCAGCAATATTTTCGGAACCGTGAGTCCCGTGATTTTGAAATTTGGTGTGAAGACAGATCTATGATAGATGCTTAAAGTAAAGTATATAAATAAGTTTGTAAAAGGGGGCGTGGAACATCCCACAAGCGTCAACTTTTAATCAGCTATAACTTAGGGATGATAAGTCACATGGCTTCGAAATTTGGTTAGAAGACATAACTAAAGTAGGCGCTTATAGTGAGGTAAATATTAATTAGTTTGTCCATAGCCGTGAAATTTTACATTTGCACCCCTTACTTACATGACTTGGAAATTTGGTGAGAAGATCTATGCTAAAGGTATAAAAATGAGCTTATACAAGAGGGCGTGGCGTTTGTAGTAAACTGATAGAGACTGAGTGTTTATCAGGAGCGTGGCACCTCAAACAGATGTATTACATTCGGAGAACCATAACCTTGGACACATTACGAACAGATAGCTAAACGGAATGTCCTGTTGTTAACTAAAAACGAGAAGAGAGTTTCCAATAAGTCGTAGCATCTCCCATTGTGCATGCCCTATGCGTTCAGAGAATATCAATTAAGAAACTAAAGTGTATTTCATTCTTATTTCGGTACCTTGATCCACCTAATGAAACAAGGTTCTACCAATCTTGTTTTATTAGGTGGTTCAAGAAAATGATGACCAATATAATTGCAGCGAGAATTATTACTGAATGTGGCACAGATGTGTTTCTGTCAGGAGTCCCATTTATTCCCGCAGATATTCCATTTTAATTTAAAAGTCTGCAGTACTCTCAGAGGCTTTACTTTGACATGTGATTATATGGCGGATACTCACGAGTGGGACGACCGGAGTGTATTTATGCTTATGTCTCCTTTAATTTGTGGTAAACTAAAAATATTTCTTGCTGTTTTATACTTTTATTTGTTTAACACCCAACGACGTCGGTTGCTCTGCCTCATAAAATATACTTTTGCAAAACATGGTGCCGACAAAAGGCGCTGGAGTCGAGATATTTAGAGAATCGTAGAATATTTAATATATAATAAGCGCAAAATTGTTTAAGCGCCACGGTTATGCTACGCACATCAACGGGTCATCGGTATATCAAGAAGAAGTGTGACGAATTAGAAAGAACGCGATAGGAATATCAGTGACCCCGTTTGAATGGCTTTAATCCTGTGGAACAGCAGTATCATAGCAGATGATTCCGCAATGCCTTGTAATACTTGCAGATATCTCACAGGTGGAGACAAGAGATCATAGCACCGAAGGAGATTAGTACATATACCATACATATGTTATCTCAGTGCTTTTAATCTTGGCCTATGAGTAAAGAAGGTTCTGCTCTTCTGTCCTTTCAGCCTAAACCAATAATTTTTTTAAATTATAAACCCTTTTTGCCTTTCAACACTACTTTTGTATTGGTCAGGCGTCGCAAAGCAAGCCGGGCATTCGCTAGTTAATTCTACATTTACTGTATTTATTCCAGCGTAGCCACTTTCCAAATACGTAAATTGCTTGAAATTTACAGTAAAAAGATGCGCGAAAAACCAATTTTTCATAGTTTATTCTTTCAAATTATATTCCTAGAAGCTATGAAGAAAAGATAAAACTCGGTTCTTAAAAAAAGTGCACTTGTTCAAGTGAGGCGGGAGGTACACACCCTGTAGGGAAACGAACTAGTGCGGAACTGGTTCGGTTCTAGTGCGTTTGGAACCATGACTAGTACGCGTTAATTCTCTTTTGCATGCTAGCGACAAGCGAATTTAACATTGCGATGTCCTAGGAAATGTCAATTGTGTCCCGTGGCATCCCTTTAGCTCTAGTTCCGAACCAGTTCTAAATTCCGCAGATGAGATCTAGTTCGTTCTGCACCCCTTTTTCTATAGTTCCGAACCAATTCCAAATTTGACAGATGTGATCTAGTTTTTGTCATAACGACTTTCTGCTCTGCCAAAGCTGACATCAAAACGGAGCTTTTATTGGTAAAATTGTTCTCCAAATTGCTAAAGGATCAATATTTGTAATCGAAAAAATAAAAATCAAATAGTAATTATTTCCGTTTGAGCGAAAAAATAAAACTCAATAATAATTCATAAAATAATGATTAAATGCTGATCTAAGTTATTGTACTCATAATGATTACCGTACCTGCTTTTAAAATTTAAAATAAAATAGTTTAGTGATGGTACCTCATTTCGCTGCTTTTGGATTTGTGCTGAACTAGTTACCTTCGGACTGGTTCGTTTTTGGCGATAAAGAATTAGTACTGAACTAGAAATTTGGTTCACTAGTTCGTGTTTTCCCTACAGGGCATGTATTCCTTTCAAAATTATATAGTAAGTAAACACTGAATACATATGTACATTTGTCACAGTATCGTGAGTATATATGTATATATTTATTATATGTATGTATGTACGAACATATATGTATATTGTAAAATTTTTCTAAAGCTCGTGTTATGTAATTACACAACTACATAAATATTTTCTATAACATTCACCCAGTATAAATTTCAACACAAAGGCATTCTTCATTTTTTTAGACCCAGTTCTTCAGTGACTGGTTGTGCTACAGTAAAACTGGCCACTTGCCTTGGATGGTGCGGTGCATCGCCGCGGTCGTAGTAGCCGTAATGCTCGCCGGGCACATGGTAAAGACCATAATGTATACCGCTGTTGGCCACCTGTGGATTGAAAGAATGAGAAAACTACCATTCAAAATTGATTAAAATTTTAAATTACAGAAGAAGCAAACGCAAACAATAGAAGAAATACGATTTAAGAACTAAACAAAAATTTCACCTTCTTCAGTCCATTGATAGACGCCAATAGTAGAGCCATTTTCGCTAACAACAAAGCTTTTCCGCTCACAATGGAGAGCATTTGAAAACCCATGGGGACGAGCACAGCACCCAAAGCGGTGACGCCAAACATCATGGTGATCATCATGTTGTATCGTTGGCGGCGGTGGCGCGCGGTGCCCGGTTCTTCAGCGGCAAGCCTGTTATTATTTTCTATGAAACAAACACCAATACAAAATATGCACTCATCTATGCCATTAGCTTCGTACGCCACTTCAACGTACCGTCCCTTTCCAGAGCGCGCATGTACGCATCGGTGAGTTCCTTCAAGTTCACTTGCAGGAAATGTGTGCTAAGCGTGTGCGCCAATCGCATGGCAAGTCGATCGAACCAGGTCAGATGCTGCAGGTCCTTGCGGTCATAGAATTCGCTGAAACTCTTTGACCGGCTAAAAACACAATGAAAAGTATTTGCAATGTCTGCATTTAATAACTTTTACTTCTCATTTGTTGCATTGCTTTGCACTGGCATTCGCACTAAGCGCACACCTGGCCACACGGGAATCACACTGGATGACAGGATATCGTCCAATATGCGCGCACTACTCTCCTTAAAGCAGTGCCATGTGGTGTCTCTCGTTTTCTAAACATTTATTTTTATTTTTATTTCAATTTAAATGAATGCTGCAAGTTTACGCCACGTTCTTACCCCAATGCAATCCTTTGTATACTGTCTTAACAGCTTCATTTCCTGCACCCACGCAATTACTTCACTGTGTGCGCCAACAACGGGCAAATTCGGTTCGTCAGATTTCCGTGGGTTTTGCGAGTTATATTCAAGCGCTGCTCCACGGACACCCACCAAAGGCACAATCGCCAAAGACAGTAGCACGCCGCACTTTATTAGCCTTTCACAAGGATACATTTCCTATTCGTCCTGTTCACGCTGCACAATTCGTATCCTTTGGTTTTCTAAATTTTTAATAATACTCGAAGAAGTAATCCGTCTATGCCTATGTTTGATTTCTGTTTTGGTATGAACTGCTACTAAATTATCCACTGAAAGCGCCTCTGCGTGATTGCACTAATATTTATATACACCGAAAAGCCCTTCTTGTGACAGCTGAGTGCCCACTTCAGAGCAGCAGCAGCAGCAGCAGCTCAAGCCAGGCAACCTGGCCAACAATTGCTATAATTAATCGGCTCCGCTGCATTGAACAGTGAAATGTGGTTTCAATGGTGGGTTATTTTATTTTTGCTGTGCCATGCGGAATTGGTCGAATGCGTATATGGACTGAGCCAATAGTGACATAGGTATACATATACATACATACATACGAGTACATACATATATGCCCACCGTTAGCAAGTTTGGGAAACGCTGTTTTGAACTTGACAATTGTCTCAGTAGCAGAAACATTTTTTTTTAATTTGTATTTATTTAGCGGAAAATTGCCATACACACTGTATGACTGCTAAGTTGCTGACTTTGAAACCGAATGTGGTCGATTAGACACACCCCAAATCATAGACAATCAATTACAATGTTTCAAAATCAGAGAGAAGACGACCGCGGTATGCAATCTTCAGCCTCGTCTCTGAGAACTTCTTTTGTTGTAATTTTTTAAATTTTGCTTGTCCCCTTTTTGCTAAGGGCCTCAGCCAGACTGGCCTGAGCGGTAGAACCGGTAGCGTTATAACCAAACCTTAATTTCTACATATATCTGCGAGTAAAATAATAGCAGCAAAACTCAAAACGATGATGTTGGTAGCTTATGTTAATTATTTGTTGTGAATAATTTTCATTCAAAATATGGGGCAGAATCCAGGTAAATAGAAGTTTGAAAGCTTGCACAAAGATCAGAAAAACTAATTAAATTAAAAAAAAATGTTTAATTAATTCGTACATATGTATATTGCCTGCCGTTAGACGACCGCTATTAAAAACAAGTTTCTATGTTTAATTTTAACCACTACATCACATCGGCTACCAATTTTCTTATAGTCCCCTTTCAGACACGTCAAGTCTTGCTTTCATATCTGCTCGTTCGTTGGCGAAGGAGGTGGGAAGAGAGGGGAAGAGTACAGATACCTCCGTACCTTCAATTCGTTTAAAGTTTTCTTGTTCTCTTTTGATCTTTTCGTTGCTTCCCATTTAAAGATCAAAGGACTTGAATTCAATAAAACTTGACGCGTGTGGAAGCAAAGAGAAAACACAAAAGAGAATGCGATAAGAATTGCTTTCAAGACTTGACGTGTCTGAAAGGGGACATACTCAGTATAAACTGAAATTCTGGAGAAACTCTTTCCTCTTAGTTGGCGATGTAACTGCCTCAGCGATTTGGGCCGAGTTCAACAAAGCACGCTAGTCGTTTATCTTCTATGCCAACTGACGCCATTTGGAAATGCCAACCCCTTATCCACCAGCAGGTTCCGAGTGGAATACTTTCAGAGCTGGAGTGTCGGAGTCCATTCTGGAGAAATACTATAGGCAAAACATGTACGCAGCTGTCGTAAGTTCCATTCATTTCTATGGGGGCATAGTATGGTGGCCCACGTTGTAAAAAATCACACCTACGAGCAAAATAGAAAGTGTACAAAAGTGCTTAATGCTAGAGCAGGAGAAACATCGATGCATCGATGTTTTTTTCGCAACATCGATATTTTTGCAACTTGCAACCCTACATTTCATAAGTTCATAAGTCAGCAAACATTTTAGTAATATTTAAAAGACTTTAAACTCTACCTCATTTATACATTTTTATTTTATTTATTTTTTATATCGAGCCCTCGAATACATTTTTTGTTAAACTCAAATTTATTACTCTTGCGTCAGCAAATATCTTGAAGAGGCAAAAGCATTATAATTTATTATGTTTTAGTTAAATATAGAAAAAACCAAACTCTTTATCGTACATCTAAACTTTTTTTATTTAGTAGAATTTATTTCCAAGCTAAAATTTACAAAGAGAAATGCTAAATATCCTAATTCTCAAATTTTGTAAGAAAATATTGATGTTTCATCGATATTTTCCTTTCAAACATCGATGTTGCCACTGAGGAAAAAGCGAATGTCGATTATCGAATTTTTTAAATCGATTGACGGATGGAGAATCGGAACTAAAAAATCTACGAAATATCGTATCGGCTCCATTAGCCTGTATTCGATTTAATTGATTTAAAACCGGCACCTCTACAACATACCTACATACATATCAGAGTTGTGAAAAATGCATTAATTGTGTAATGCATTAATGGTATTTAAAGCAATAATGTTAATGTAAAGAATTAATGCATTAATTTATGAAATTTAATACAAATGAATATTTCAATGCATTAATTCTGAAAAATGTTATGCTAATGAAATTTTTTTTCATTAAATTATCCAAGCTAATGCACTAAAATGTTTAATACTTTTGCTCGTTTGCATTATTAAAAATCATTAAATTTTTTTTCTGGTGTAATATAAATAGCCTCTTTTGGAAGGACTTGGAAGAATTACTAATAGTTTTTTCAGCTTCATTATATTATATGTATTTGTAGAAAAATTCTTCTAAACATTGTTAGATGTTTTATGAAAATAAAAGCCAATGTGCATGCAACTCAGAGTGCTTTTGTAGATTTTTATGTTGATTGTTGAGGCATACCGATTACATATATTATGAGCCAAAAACGGAAAGATAGCCAATTTAGCAGGGCATATACACGACTAAGGACCTACTCTGATCTAAATTAGTCAATAAGCAGTTTTTTAGTTCCATTTGACAATGTGTTTTTACATATTTAACGACAAATGCCATTGAACTTGACATAGTGAAAACCAGCCTTAAAGTTCGTCACTATCATTTTTGACCTTAAAATTCTACCCTCAACGTCAGCAAAGAATTTTTACTTCAAAATAAAATGAGTTAATGGGTTTTTATTGCTTGTTATAATTTTAATGCAATAAATTATTGCAATAGCATTCATTTAAACATTTTAATGTTAATACAAAAAAAAATCATTAGCATTATTTCTTCGGAATTAATGCATTCAAATCTTCATTTGCATTAAATATCAAAAATTAATGCATTAATTTTTTCCATTTACATTAAAATGCTATGCATTAAAAAATTTAATGCATTTTTCACAACTCTGATACATATATATGTATATATTTATAACTTACCCAATACTTGTATTCCAATGGAAAAATGATTTGCACTTTAAAAGGGCGACTTGCAGAAGTGACCATTAAATAAAAATATTTATTCGTTTTTGTGTGCGATTTTAAATTTGAATTGCTTCTTTTTATTCTAATAAATTATATTATTTATGCGTTTATTCCCCAAACTCAATTTAACAAATTTACTAGTCATCATTATTCTATTATTTTTTTGGTTTTCTTTGTTGTTGTATCTTTAGTATTTGCGATTTTAAAGAGCATTTTAAAAGGGTGCAAACTCTATATAATTTACTAATCAGTGACTTATTATTATTTAATATTTTTAATTACTTAGTAATTCACAAAATTTTGTGTATTTAAATTTTTCTTACATTCTTGTAGATTCGCACAAAGCGAGAGGTCACTCATGAATTGTACGGAAACAATTATACGGACAGTTTAAATAGCTCTTCTCTACACGATTAATAAGTTATTATTATTTTTGGTTTATTTCAAATTTGATTTTGACATTGTCCTGTTTGTGTATGCGTGTATGATTTTCTGAAAAGTTGGCAAAATTGCTACCTATACATACATATGTATATTTAACTTCCGGTCGTTTATTTGATCCTTTAGTGTTATGCTATATATGTACGTACATATGCTCTTTGTATACAAAATGTGTTCACTTCGTTTTATATGTATGTATGTAAGTCTAATTTTTTGCCTTTGAAAATCGTTGAAATATAATAAATATTTATCTAGCAAAAAATATATGGTTTTATATGTATTTGTGTATGTGTCTTCTTTATTATTTGCACAATTGCTCAATTCGTTTACTATGTATAATTGTTTTATTTATGTATGCGTTAAATTTTTTTACCATTTCTAATAACATTCTTTTATAGACATTTATTAAAAATTATTTAACAGTAGACTTATTTAAGAGCAACTATGTGTGTATGTATTTGTCGACAATCGGCGCCATTGCCAACCACATCGAATCATCACGATCCAGTTGTGGTGCTTGTGCTCGTCGTTCCGCGTCCGAAACGGGGCAGGTAGAGGCCGAACTTGGATTCAATGCCGTTGAGGAGAGGCACAGCGGCGCGGTAGCCTCCAATATGATCGGGATTGAATTTTTGTGCAGTATCATCAATGACATTTGGTTTGTTCACCACCGACCCAGATGGATGCGAGCCACCGAAGTCAACATAGAAGAGGCGCTGCAGCAATTCGTAAGTGACCAAGGTGACACCGAATTGTGGTGAAGAGCGGAAGACACGAGCTACGAGAATAATACAATATAAAAAAAAAATAAAATAGCATAATCAAATTTTCAGATAAAATTGTACATGCAAACTTACCGGCAGTACCCTTCCAGAAGGCGCGTGGCCCCTCTTCGGCCATGATTTTCTTTGTGGCATCCCACACGCCCGTATAGGTTGTCTGACCTGAGCGCGCCACAACCTGCAGCCTGGTCTTGATCACATCAGCGGGTGTTACGAGTGAGGCAGCCGGCACCCCAGCGATTGCACCAGCCGCTAGTAAGGTCAGCGGATGATTATAACTAAAGAATGATAAAAGTAAAGGGGTTTTAAGTATAACGTATACATACATATCTACATAAATACATACACATTTTCGAAAGTGCCAAAAAAAAGTGCCTACGGTTGCGGGGGAAAAAATAGCAACGCAAAAATTTAACAAGTTTTGGCTTTTTTTCTTTGGTTTGTTTAAAATTTATTATTTTGTACAAAAGTATAGCTCACTATCTAATGAAAACCATGTGAGTCAAAACCTTAATATTCGTACAATTTAAACAAATGTTCATATAAATTTCAAACTTTTTATTCAGAAATTTGCTGGCTATGTGTTGTATTTTCCTAAATATAAAAAAAAATGAAATGCATGACACCGTCAGCAAAATATAATTTTCAAAAGTCGACTGCACTTAATTTTACTAAAATTGAATGGGCTACAAAACAGCACACCAAATTTTTGTCTTAAAAGTCTAGTTAAAAGTTTGAAATTTCAATGGCAGTTTGTCGAACTTTACTGATTTTTTTACTAAGTTTGAAATTCGGACTAACACGATTTTTGTTAGATAGTGAGCTATACTCAGTGGACGGACTTTGAAAAAATTAATAGTGGTAGATTTTACACCTAAAAAATGGTAGAAGTTGGTACATTATTTAAAAGAAAAAAATTAGATACGTTTTAATCATATGAACTTTATATGAATTCACCTTGAGATATTGTATTTTTATATAAAACAAAAAAAAATGTATTTCAGGTCAACAAAATATTCAACAAAAAACCTCTACATTAAACTGGGCACGAATCACCACGGCATCCGTGATCGAATGCAAGGATTTGAATCGAATGAAATAAAATGACCGTTGTTTTCTCTCCAATACAATTACAATTGAAAAAGCGAACTCAATACCGAATGGTCAAAAAGAAATTTCGTATAAAATTTTATTCGCTCACGAATGCTCTGATGCAGGCATTGTATTAATTTAATAGGAGAGAGGCTCCAACCATTATTCTCCGCTACAAAATTTTTCGATTAAAGTTAGATTTGAAATGGTTGAAGTCTGCAGCCCATTCGTTTGGCAGTCTCCCACACAAACGTTGGCAAAAGAAAAATATTTAAAAAAAGAGCTGATAGAGATGCAATGCCAGTATTAAATTGGTTATGGTCAGAGTTAACTTTTCATTTTTATTTAAGGTGTTGGATGAAAAAATATGTATGTTCGTTTAAAAGTTGACAGATCTACCAATAAAGTGGTAAAGTCCGTGCACTGGCTATACTTTCATAAACAAATAATACACATTAAATAAACAAAAGATAAATAGCCAAAACTTGTAAAAATGTCGCGTCCCTAGTTATTTTTAATACGCATGCACCAATAGCATATGTCCCATTCAGAGTTGTATTTTTTAATTTTTTTTTTTTTCTAAAATGTTGAGTGTATCAGTGTTGCCAGCTCTATCGTCCAGATTACAGTTTTGTAAAAATTACTTCCTAGTGCAAATTACAGTTTTTTTCAATTTCAGATTGGAATCAATAAATTAAAACATCTCTTATTTTCAAATAAATTTTTAAGCTATACAGGGAAAAAGCCCATCCACATTTGGCGTTGCGTTGGCGTTGTTAGCGCTTCAACCCCTTTTTTCTTGGAGGTTAGAGTTTTTTGTTACAAAGAAATCTGGCAATACTGGTATCTCTTAAATGACTACGCTAACTGGGAATATCGTATTGGTTTGGTTAAATCTTAATCCCAGTCCCAATCATAACCTCAATAACGGAAAGGAGCAGAAGGAAGAGAGACGCGTTTCTCTTCAAAAATAGAAATGTAATCCCGCAAATTCATTCATTTATCTCTATATGATCCTCTCTTCTACTTACCCATCTTCATCGGCAAACAGAGATTTTGTGTGCGCATATGCGGGGAAGTAGATAGCAGAAAACGGTACGTCACGCAGCAGACACGCGCGTGCACCTTTGTACAAGCCAAATAGACCCAGGTCACGCACAACAGATAAGGCACGTACTTTAGCTCCTCCCGCGATTTCACCGGCAACCTGTAGACGAATCTTAACAATTTCCAAAGGATTGGTGAAGACCACTTGTGACGCGCCGGCCTGAAAGGAATCGCGAGAAAAGCGGAGATTAGACTAGTCAACATTTATCTAGTTACAACGGTTAAGTAAGCTCGCCTGAGTACCCATTCCGTGCAAGCTCCCTACGAAAGCTGAGGTGAACTTTTTACGCAGTACACAGAAACTATGAAAAATGCTTTGCAAAACGTAACTGAAACATTTTGGTTATATTAATTCTCGGGTACTTACACAACCACCGGCCATAATTTCGGACCACCCTGCTATCACACCCTGTTTGTCGGTAAATTTGTCGCGTACAAAATCGTTCACAGTGAGCTTGATGGCTTTCTCGGGCGCAACACCCATCAGCTGCGGTAGCAAGCCGCGGTACAAACCAAGTACACCCTCGTGGCGGATGACCTAAAGTATAAAAGATCAATTTTGCATGAAAAGTTTATTCCGATCACAATTTGTTTATACCTACCTTCTTAAAGCAGTCCCATGAGTTTCTGTAAGCGATTTCTCCGATGAATGAACCTGTGCGTTGGTTCTGCATGCGTGTCTTCACCAAGTCAATGGGGTATACCACAGTGGCGCCCACGGCTAAGCACATAAATAAGCAGATGAGCTTCAGTTTCATGTTAAGGTATGCGTATGTTACTCACCGCCTGCCAGAGAACCGAGCGCGAAACGGTAGGTACTCTCCAATATCTGTATGAGCGCTGAACGATCGGCCGGACTCTCGACGGCCTTGATCTCTGCCAAACGTGTGGTGATATGCTTCGTGTAGTGCTCAGGCGAAATATTGTTCAGGTCATTGTAGACGATGCGTCTGAATAAGAAATGAAATGGATCATTCTACTGCTGTTATATGATAAGTATATAACTATGTTTCTAAATAAGATTATTTTAGGGTGAAGACGAAACAAACGAAGCATCTACTTATACAGCAAAAAAGAAGGGAGGAAGGAAGGAAGGAAGGCAGGTAAAATCACGAAACGAGACGCTTAAAAAAATAACCAAATATGTATGGGATAAGGGATGGAGCATTTGGATTGAATATCATTCATAATTGGATTCAATTAAGCTTCTCTTGTTATGAACTGTAAACAGTTTTATTTTTTGCTTTTATAGATTAAGCAAGCAAGGAACGGAAAGAATGTAAAATAAAATCAATTATTAGTTATTCACTTGCCTATTTGGATCTATTTTTTTGCGTCTCCACCAACTTTTTTTAACCAGCACAATATAGATAAAACATGTATAAATTTAACATATGGAGAAAATTACAAGAAAATATACGTAAAACAAGGGAATGTTAATAACATTATATATCAAAATGTATGATATTCTGAATGTATGAAAATGCAATATTCCAAGACAAAATTACAAAAAGAGAGAGCTACTTTAACACATTGAGTGCCATGTCGCACGTTTTTCTACGGAACCTAATACTTGTCCTACGCTTTCGTGCCACACTACATGAAATTTATGATTTTAGAGTAGTCTGATATTCGCAAAATATGTTGTTTTTTTATCTGTTTTATGATAAAAACTGAGATACGATTTTTGTTTGATGAAAACCTGCGTGGGCTCCGGCGAAGATTTTTGTCAAATTAACTTCGTACTTAACAGGGATGAAAAAGTAGGTACAATTGTACCTTCTTCCGCCGTTTGCTGACTAAAGGTACATTAGGTATAATCACTAGATTTTAGGTACAATCAACTTCCGTAAATTGTTCCGCCGATAGCTACGAACTACGTACATTACAGTTGGATTTTTTAGTTCAATATAAAGATTAGTTCACTTCTAGTTCGTTCAGCTCAATGAACTAACTCTTCTGAGTCTTAATTCGTTCACCTTATTGGACCATAGTTCACCTATTTGAACTAGTTCGATAGAAGTAGCTGAGTTACAGAACAAAGATATATGTTTTACTAGCTTATACCCGCGGGTTTCACCCCGCGCTTTTATACAAATATGAAAAATAATTTAATGATGTTAAATTTTATTTCTGTGCCCATTTCGTTATAGCTCGTTATTTTTTAAGCGAGTTAAGGTATTTAGGCCATTTAAAACTATGAAATTATAAAATCTCGTCTGCGCGCTAGGCATACGAAAGATATCAATCCCTCTAAGTTTACCTTGAAATGGTTCCAGGTATACGACGCGTAAACATGTAACCTTCTTGGAGGTGCCACGGCGGGTTCTAATATTTCCAACTCAAATTCAGTAACCTGGCCTTGATAAAATACCACTTCTCATTACTGTAGCAAATGCCTCAAGAGAGAGCTTTAGATTATAAGGCCGAACCCGGCTCTCCCTTTTCCATTAAAAGAAATTTTTGCTATCAGTACGGCACTTATAAAATAAATCTCCATAACAAATTTAAAATACTTCCAAATATTTTCTATCCTTCCAGAGATATGTACTAAGAAATTTTTAGTATGTATGGGAGGCGACATGTCTCCTTTTTTAATAAATCACATTTTTTCCATGAGCAATTGAAACATTTTGTATACACAACTCCATACCAAGTTCCAGTATTCTTCCACAAACACTTCCAGGGATATGTGGCAAGAAAAAGTCAATTTGCACAGAAAGTGCCACGCCCCTTTTTCTTATGACCCTAATCTTCTTTCATGAATTTAGAATTGATTTTACATACCCCAGTACCAAGTCTAGTACTCTACCATGAACACCTCTAGAGATATGCAGTATAAAAGTAAATTTGTACGGGAGGTTCCATGCCCCCTTTTCGAATAACGCAAATTTTTCTCCATGAGTATGGAATTAATTTTGTATACACATCTCGGTGCCAAATTCCCGTCCTCTGCAATAAACACCTCCAGAGATATGCAGCATAGAAAAATCAATTTGCATGGGAGTTGTCACATCACCTTTTCCAATAACTCTCATTTTTCTCCATGAGTATGGTATTAGTTTCACATACATACATACATACATATGTATTTCCATACCAACCTTGAGTACTTTACCCCAAACATTTGAAGGGATATGCAATATGAAACTTTCAGTCAGTATTGGAGGTGCTACGCCTCTTTTCCAAAAACCTCCATTTTTCTCCGTGAATATGAACATGATTTCACACAGTGTTGGAAAACTGTTAATCTGATTAACGATTAAAATGTTAATCGCGTTTGACGATTAAAATTAATTAGTCGTTATCAACTGTACGATTAATGATAACATTTTTTGAATCGTTAATCGCTGGCTGCGATTACGTTTAATTAATTTAAAACATTAATCGTTAATCCAATTAAAAATAAAATCTGATTAATTTGTCTAGTTTGTCCGAGTTTGAAACCAAACACCAGTTATAGTAATTATTTTGTGTTTTACGCTTATAAAAAGCACATGATATAAAAAAATTATAATTATTGTTATTAGTAATACATAAACTGTGAACTTTTACAAACCTAGTTTGTAAAACGTTTGTTGGTATATATCTTAATGAAAATGCACACGAAATTGCTTAGATGGATGAGGAAGCCCGACTTCGCCATACCGGATTAACTTGCTTTGTGTGCACAGGGAAATTCCAGCATAACTTAATTAATCACCAAGCCTACTTGATCAAATTAAGAGTTAATGATTAAAAATTAATTTTTTAATCGCGGTCACGATTAACTGTTCAGTCAGGTTAAAATTAATCATGATTAACTGTAATCAGATTGAATTTAATCGAATTAACTAACTGATTAAAACATCAATCGATTAATGCCATCATTGATTTCACATAGATATCGCTATACCAAGTTTCAGTTCTCTCCCACAAATACTTCAAGAGATATGTATGTAATATGAAAATTCTAATTTGTATGGGAGGGGCCTTGAGTTATCGGACTTACTTTCAGTCTAAGACCATCCTTCCGAAATCCGTAATAAGTGTACTAAATTTCGTTCTGATCGGAAAACCGGTTAAGGAAGTAGCCTGTTTTTCAATCCAGGTCATAAACCATCTTTGAGCAAAATTTCATTTTCAAACAGGTGGCAATTCTTAAAAAAGCAGCCTATTTTCCAGTCTAGGTCATAAGCTATCTGGGTGCAAACTTTCATGCAAATCAGTTCTGTCATTTACGCGTATTAATTTAATTAAACTTTCATAATACGTGATAGCTCTTAAAATAGTAGCCTATTTTCCAACATAGGTCATAAGCTATCTCTGTGCGAAATGTCATGCAAATCTGTTCACTCATTTCCGCGTATTACTTTAATTAAAACTTTTTTAACAGGTGGCAACTCTCCCAAAAAATTTGCCTATTTTCCACTGTAGGTCATAAGCTATCTGCTTGCAAAATTTCATGCAAATCCGTTCAGACTTTTCCGCGTATTAATCTAATTAAACTTTTTTAGCAGGTGGTAACTCTTAAAAAAAGTAGCCTATTTTTTCAACCTAGCTATCTGTGTGAAAACTTCCATGCAAATCAGTTCACTCATTTCCGCGTATTAATTAAATTAAACATTTATAACAGGTGGCAACTCTTAAAAAAAGTAGCCTACTTTCTAACCTAGGTAATAATCTATCTGTGTGCAAAATTTCATGCAAATCCGTTTAGTCGTTTCCGCGTATTAATTTAATTAAACTTTTTAACAGGTGGCAACTCTTCCAAAAAATTTGCCTATTTTCTACTGTAGGTCATAAGCTATCTCTGTGCAAATTTTCATGCAAATCCCTTTAGTCGTTTCCGCGTGTTAATTTAATTAAACTTTTTAAACAGGTGGCAACTATTCCAAAAAATTAGCCTATTTTCTACAGTAGGTTATAAGCTATTTGCTTGCAAAATTTCATGCAAATCCATTCAGTCGTTTCCGCGTATTAATTTAATGAAACTTTTTTAACAGGTGGCAACTCTTAAAAAAATATCCTATTAACCAATCTGTCCCATAAGCTACCTGCGTACAAAATTTAATGCAAATCCGTTCGGTCGTTTCCGCGTGATGATTTCCCAAACATCCAAACATACAAACTTTCACATTTATAATATTAGTAAGATTACTCATACATACATATAGAAGATTGAAATCGTCGCTGGAATAATGAAATAGTGTAACATGAAAAGTATAGTTTTGAGAAAAACGAATTGGAAGTTTTTATAAACAATTACAAACCATACAAATACAATTTCGTTTTTCGGGAATAAATTAGTGAGCCAAAAAGATCTTTAAGAAAACTAAAGATTTTTGTAATAGATTACAGGATTGTCTATCCAATGGTGCATTTATCGAATAATAGTGTATGTGGCATTTACACTGTTTCTTTATTCGAGCGACGAATTAATCTGTAAAATAAAAACCAAATTTTTTCTACAAGTGGATGGTCCTCTTCTATAGCGACACAATTTAGTTGTCTTCATTCATTTGCCTTCACCAAAATCACAAAAAGATGTTTGGCTTCCATGTGGCGATTCAAATTTCCATGAGAATCATCAAAAATGTGTATTGAAACTCAGCAGTGCCTGCATTTCATTTTCTTTCCTTGAATTGTGCCTTCGAAATGCGACAAAATTACGCTTCGCTTTGGCATTTGCAAGCGATAGTCTTTTGTTAAACAACAAATCCCAAAAACTCAACTCAAGCATTTACTTTTTTTCACAAATTGCCCTAAACGATGTATTTAAAACATTGTAAATTCAGTGAAATAAAATGTCTTTTTAGCGCGAATTCCGATCAGTTATTTGTCAATGCCCTAACAACGAAA